GAGTTTCCATGACCCGGTTGCATAATCAGGTGCCCAATAGCTTCCCATTTCGCCCTGCATTACGGCAGCATTGTCACTGTAGGCCGAGACAGTGTAGTCGGGCGTCTTCTTGTGCGTATTTCGGATCATGTCGAACAGACTCAAATCCTTAGTTATACCATCTATAGTCCAGCTCGCATTAAACTGCCTACAGTTCATTATTAGTTGCATTCGCTAATGCGAATTTCTAGCTAAGGGTAGGCCAATAGCAAAGGAAGACTACCGTGAAGGTAGGCATGGAATGAAAGCAGCATTCATATATTGGGCAAGAGAAGATAGGTAGGTGGGAGTACTATGTATGCTTTAAGCTTATGGTTACTTACTTATGACGACAATGTTCAGAGTTTACTTGAGCAAACATGAAGAGCTCTATATCATTCGGGGGTCGCCCAAGTTGAGTGAACTCTTGGACTAGGTATTCCATTTCGGATTGATCCAGAGCTAGGCCGTGTTCGGCATTGTAAGCCTTCAACATATCAAGAGGACTTTGGCTTCCGGAAAATATATCAACAACTTCCAGAGGCAAGGGCTCTCGCTCTATGAACATCGAGTCAAGATCTGGCTCGCTTGTGGATATGATCTCCGTCATTCGGTCGAACAGTGAATCCTTGAATGGGATTTCATCGCTATTCAAGGGCTGCTCGAATTCTAGAGTGACGGATCGCGCCCGTTCAACCCGATGAACCTGGTCTGCGAGGCCGCAGACTTCGCAGACCTTAGTAGCTTTGGAGCTCCATGGAGAAATATTCCTAGGCGCTATATAATAAGTGCGCGTGTGGCCGATATGTATTAGAGACGGCTGGCTAGCATCGCTAGGCAATGGGAGTAGCTGTTGGAGTTTGGGCCCGACAATGTTTTTATCACCTTTGATATGCGCGTAATAAATCCAGGAGCCTAGGATGTTGGTGACCTTGATAGATGTAGTCTGGCTGATGCGATCTTTTAACTTATTGGCCTCGGAGGGCGTGAAGCAAGACTCTCCGGTAAGGACAATGTATTCCATCTTTCCCGGTAGCGACCAGAAGGTCCGAGGATATTTGAGATTAGAGGCTCTAATGCAACCAGAAGCACCCCTCGACTACTTGAAGACTCATTGATTAGCGTGAAAGAAAATGTTCACAGCTATGTGGGATGTGGGGTTCATAGTTTTCGTTGGAGGGGTAGATGAAGACCCTGCATGTACGGTTAATGCTAAGCTGTCCAATCATCAATGAAGTACGAACCCAATTCTGTCTTGAGTCAAACGTGCGATAAGACGATAAGCATCAGCGGATGTGACATTCAACCGCCCCGATCTTAGAAATAGAAATGGGACCTAAATACAGGTACCCAGATATGTGCTACGTCAATCTTATGTAAAATTCAGGGGTTATTTACATATGTAGGTAGACTTATCCAAAAAATTATGACCAGCTGTTTGAAAAGCTCCACAACATAAGTCGCGATTTACTTTAGTTAGGTATTATCGTGTACATTAGCTTCATTCCGCCGAAGATAACCAACACTCTTCGACTCTTCGGATGAAAATTCGAGTTCCGACCCACGCCGAACATCCCTCGACTCAACCCCGTCTTACCATGCAATTTTAGTGTTCGCCAATGTGTTGCACGAAGAGTTCTATATAGAATCAGGACAACCGCGCGATCTCCCGCTCTGTCCGGTGCTACTCGATAAAGCATCAAAATGTACCTCCTCACGACGTTGGCTGCCTATGCCGCCCCAACGTTCCTGATTTTGTCGCCTGTTTTGTCATACTCCGATCAGGCAATCTCTATGCATAGGAATAGATCGAGTGCGGGCTTCTCACTAGATATTCCTCTGATCATGCTTGTCGCATCAATATTCAGGTTCGCCAGCCCCTCCGATCTTGTATACAGAAGCTTGTCATGCTAACAACATCATCATTAGGGTCTTCTATTACCCGGGCGCGAGATTTGATGTAGCGTTGTTGATCCAGTCGTTCTGCAACATCGTCATCCAAGTTATACTGCTAAAGATTGCTCTCGATCACCGTCCGCCGCCGTCGTCAAAAGGAGGTGATGCCGCCCTTCCTTTCGCAGGCGCACAGGATGGATTCGGGAGATTTCAGCGACCTTACAATTTTTGGCGATGGCGGTCACCGAAACCGTAGGTTTTACCCCTCGAGGTCTGGTCTTGGTGCTTCTGCTAATCCCAGATGCTAGCTATTGGCAATTTCTATTGTCGTTGTTTATCAGCTTGACTGTACTCGAGCTGTTATTAGCACCATTCAATTCGGTCTATTCTGGATATTCGGACTTAATAGGATATATTGGCCTGTCAGTCGAGGCGACGCTGCCGATCCCACAGCTCGTTGCGAACGCACGCTCGCGATCTTGCAAAGGCTTTCGGGTTTCCGTATTAGCAAGTTGGCTGGTTGGAGATGCTATGAAGATGTTCTGGTTCTTTACGTCTACCACTTCAATTCCAGTGGCATTTAAGCTCTGTGGAATCTTCCAAGCTGTCTGCGACTCCCTCATCGGCGTCCAGTATTTGATGTATGGTGACCAGCAACCTAACCAGCAACCTACGATAAAACCGCAGCAGGGGTGGACATATTCCGGTGTAAAGCCGCATCTACATGTAACTGGGAGAGAAACACCGACAGGGAGGAGGACACCTCTTGGAGAGAAAACAATTTGAATAATGATTGTAAATACTATCATAACCGGTGTGGCCTGGTATGCCTGTGACTGTATATATGGCGTATGACTATAGTTGCAGTAATAAGTGTGGTAGTACGATCGAATCTTCAAGTTAAAAACATGGGACTTCACTACAAGGCTACTAGGTTTCCTTTTTTTTTTTTTTTTTTAAAAAAAAAAAAAGGAAAAAAAAGGAAAAGATGATGAAATTGCAGCCATACTAAAACAATTACATGCAGGAATTGGGGCATACATACCTAATACATGTAAGTATACACCTTTATAATTGCTAACTTATAGTGTACATTTACCCTGTAATAAAAAGCAAAATGACATCCTGCTCAAGACCTGTCGCTGTGATTACCTAATATCGTAACACGCGCTATGATACGCGAGTGGCTGATGTGATACATCAACTAATTATTCTACAGACAAGGGTGAGGAAGTCGTGAATTAGTGCTAATGAGTACATTCAACACCTGACTTTCCCCGCGAATAATCAGCCACGAAATCATATTTCTATAGCTAAAATAGTACCTGTCAGGTCGGGACAAAATGCTAGCTTCTATGTGTACCAATCTTTCCAACGCCGAAGTGATGTGTTATCTCATTTGGACGTGGAGGATTCTGAGGATGTAGTCACGGCTTAACTAATACGAATGTTAGTGCACTCGACTTTCTCGAGTAGAACGCGCTTAACAAATCTTCTCATTTTAATCTAATACTTTACCATCATCTCATTCACACATTAAGAAACTCCTTTCTATACATATATTGGCGCCTATCTCTCCCACTTTGCGACTTCACATCATATCCCAGGCATCTCCTAGCCATAGTCGATTTCTCACTATCTTCGACTCTTTTAACCTAAGATACATAGCGCCAAGTACTAAGACGTGGTAGTCCATAACCCCTGACATCTATATGTCTTGTTTCAACATAACTATCCTCCCAATTATACCTATACTCTAGGACCATCTTCAAGTCTCATATCCAGTTATTATCACGCTTTCAAGTGATATCTCGATTCTTTAGAACCCTCGAGTCGTTCTAGGCTATCGGTCTTAAAACCGACCTGGCGTTGTAAGTTGAATTTATTTGTTTTAGTTCCTCATCCAATTATCGTGTTAAGAACTATATGGCACTTATGGCATTGCCTTCAAACCCCGTTCTTCGAAGCATATTGAACCCAGATGCCGCAAGAACAGTAATAAAAAAAAACTCCTATCATATTGCCTTTTTTGATAAACACGTTAAGTCACTTGACGCTTTTCTTCAAATAGCAGCATCTCATTCCTTTCTATGAATTTCCCAAGTATGAAGCTATAGAACTCAGACCAATCGATCTACACAGATATCAAATTTCAAGTTCTCTATTGGTCGTTTACTTACATCGGAAGCAGTTAGCAAGCTGTGCTAGAATTTGGAAGTTGGTTGACGTTCAATCATCGTTTAGGTGATTGGTATATTACCATTGCCTCTAATTGATCCTGTGGTTGCACTATACGTACGGTCTGGTTCCTCAAGACGTTCCTGGGCAACAACACAAATCGAAAGAGCATTGAAGGAGCGCCGTCTATTTGACGACTGCCCGCAATTACGTAGCAAACTGGTAAGCAACTCCCTCCCTTGGCACATCTTCCGGTCTTTACAACACTTGATTCAATATTTGACACACTATTCCACCTCGTATCACCGCTCTAGCCTCTCTACCACCATAGCCATTCTTACCATCTGCTATATCTAACCCCAGCCTATCAACAGAATCGTGCATCACAGGATCCAGCTTCTCAGACCTTACATCAGGTTACCCTGACAAATTCAACACCTACCTAGCGTTCACCAAGGTCTTAATCTTGTAAGTTATTTCTATTCCTAGGTCTGAGGCTACATATCCCATCCCCACTGGTTCTTTACCCAGGTATCTACGTACCTACTGAAGTACTTGGGCAATCTACTCTTGCTGGGATCACTAATACCTGTTTCTGTAATATATAATATCCTCTTATTTCCCATACCTTCTTAGACTCAACTTCCTCCACCTGGCAGCTTCCTTTTTTACTATCTATCCTACATCATCTAAGCATCGCAACACTCCCTCCTTCCCCTTCTAAACATTTGACCATTTTCTTCACGGATATCCTGGATGCCTTGTTGACTCCCCTCGATACAATACAACATCTAAACGTTGTTCCCTCCCCTTGGTTCGCGCCAATACGCAATCCTCTAACCTCGCGATTGTCTCGCCGTCAGTCATCGCTAACATCACTGTATAGTGACGCCTTTGCAACGTTCACGATGGCTCCTACTCGAAACCGAGTGAATTTTAAGAACTACGAGACTAGCACTCGTCTGCTGGCTGCTGTGGTCGCATCCCTCGAGGGCAAGGCCAAACTCGACTACGATGGTACGTGTGCTCTATTTTTATGATCCTCTACTTGAATTATCCTATACTGTTCTCTTTAAATACTCTCTTGATGTGTGTGTCCTATGCCATATTAGAGGGACGGCGTAATCAGAATACACACAAGTCGGATCGCACTACCTTGGGAGAGAGGTATTGAAACAGTTGTACTTCTGTAGTGTCTGCTTGTATTAGATAGACCTACTGTTTCCACCACGAGCTGATGTGACGGTAGTGATTGCGTTACTAGTGGGCGGAGGCTCCACGGAATCCGCTGTGGAGCACCGCATGCGTCCTATTAAGCAGCTAGGCAAGTTGCAAGTCGACTGGTTTATGAACCAAAGGAAGGACCCGGGCGAGTTGCCTGTCGAGAGTGGAGGTATAATCTATACCCCTCTCGCATCACTGAATCTCCTATTCTTATTTCCCTTTTTCCATTGCTATTTTATAACTTATTACAATGGAAGAAGCAACTAACACTCGTTTACAGAAATCCAGAAGCTCTTCGGCGAATCTACTGCCGCCGGCATACAGTGGCAGATGCGTGATGTGAAAGCTCTGGGTCGTGCGCAGCGACAAGCCGTCGAGGCAGGCCAAAATCCCTGGGATGTTAAGATCGATGCTCCTCCACGCACCAAGGCTTCCGCCGCGTCAACACCTACGAGCAAGGGTGGCCGCACCCCCTCCACCGCGGCCTCTTCGAAGCGCAAACGCGGCCCTAAGAAAGCGACTCTATCCGAGGAGGATACTGGCCTTGACAGCACTGAGACCGACTACGACACAAAGGATCTCCGCTCAGATGACGACGATATCGTTCAGATCACGCCCACACCCAAACGCCGCAACACCCAAGGTCCTAATAGCGCCAGCACGAACAACACCAACACCGCCACACCTGTGCCTGCTAAGACTACTGGCGGCAATGGCGGAAGCGGCGGCAGCGGCGGCAAAGATGTCACGCGCTCTCTCTTCGGTAACGGTTCTAAGTCAGCGCGTGCCAACAATAACGATGACCAGGTCCAGTTCATCGATCTGAGCGAGGACACACCCCCGCCCCCACCCAGAACATATACGCGCGCGCCCCAAGTGAAGGCTGACCCAGATTCAGACCTGGTATCGGAGGAGAATAGCCCAATTAGACAGGGCCACGACGACCCTTTCGTCGGTAGCAGCGGCATGTTCGACGACGACGAGCTTGCGGATGGAGAGGTCTAATGTTACCGATCTCGTAACCCGGGCCACGGAAAAAAAAATGCGAATGTAGATATCGCACGTGTTTCCATCATCCTCTCTTCTTCTTTCGGTATCCTCTATGACGAGAAACGGGTTCTATGGCGTTCGGTTTATTCTCTATTTTCTTTCTATTAATTCGACGTCCTTGCGAACGGGTGATTAATGCATGACTTTCATGCCGGCGTATCATCTCTTTTCAGCACATTTTGTGCAACATCATCGTATCGTCGTCTCTTCGTTTCTACTACATTTCCTTATCAGTACTAGGATCGGCAAAAAGGGGGGGAAACAGAGAAAAAGAAAAGCAATGGATGGATGGTTTGCGATTTTATCCATAGGAGCCGAGATATACCACGCTCTCTCATCTGACGGGCGATATATACGTGGTAACAACCTTAACCTAAGGGTTTATGGGCATGAGAGGGCATCTGGACAGATTAGGGGGGCAAAACAAAGACAATTATGCCGTCACTCCTTTATCTTCACCAACATTTCGATATATTTACTAGTACATTTGCGATGGTTTTCATTTCATCTGGTTTTCCGGCTCTGATTTGCAGGCTTGCCCTCATACAACACGAGAGGCCGTTTTTCTCGCTTTGCGATGAATTTTCAAGAACTGATCTGCGAATGAATTAGATAGAAACCAGCAGCTTCATCTACCTATCTAGGCAGGCAGACTAGCTGCTCTCGTGAATACTATCTCGCATGTTTTCTTTTATTTAACTTAGTCAAGAAGTAACCTCCACAACGCGTCCTTGTCTATGAAATCGTGATGAATGATATTGACCAGCCACGAGTCTGCCTTGGCCTTCTCGAGCAGCTTTTCGGTTTCCGACCCCTTTCCGTAGATCTGCGCCCACTCGCCAAATATGCCAAACGCCTCCTCGCTCCACGCCCTGAAGCTGACTTCCTCTATGATGGTCGGCGTGATGATCTCCTTGCCCGGAAACACGCCCCACGTCACCGCGTTCGTGCTTGGTTCCTTGACTTCGCCTGCCAGACCCCCCGTCAGGTCGGACGATGCGAAGTCTCCCGCGGCGTTTGCCGCATAGAAACATACCGTATCCTGCACCTCTGAGCTCTGGAGTTTCTCAAGGAGGACTTTCCAGTCGGCGGTCGGGATGAAGAATTCCACGAAGGCTTTCTGGAACACGAAACCTTGCTGCGGACCCCAGCCGAAGACGGGATCGGACGAGCGTAGGCCGTTGACGGCGGGTTGCGAAGCAACAGTCCACCAGCCTTTCCTGTTAAGCTGGATGAGCTGCTCGGTGATCATGCCGGTCTCTTCGTTGAACTCCTCCTCGCTCCACGGAATAGCCGAAAGCTCCTTTTTCAGATGCCGGACCATTATGTCGTTGACATCTTCCCGCTTGGCCGGGTACCCCCAGAGACTGACGGCTTGCGCGTGAGAGACGTGCAGACTAGGCCCGTATCCGTCTATTTCGCCGTAAGCGGGGGACCGGGCGTCGCCCCATCGGCCGTTGGGGAAGTCATCCCACGTTGCTTCTCGGCCGAGGACACCCTCGCCTTCAGAAATCGCCAAGGTATTAGCTCGGTTGTTGATGGGATCTGCTGGTATACTAGCTTCCGCTGAGGTAGCTTCATATTCGGGATGCGAGACCGGTCGTCCGGAGATGATGACCCGGTTGCGAGTTTCCGAACTAACGTTTGATTGCCTTCGACTTCGGGAATTCTCTCGTATTTGAGGGATAATTTCGTGGTCTAGAGATCCGTTGACTTGGAGCGCCGGGATCTTAGACGTGATATCTTGGATTGCCTCTTCATCGGTAGGAGTGCTGAGGGGTATGAGATCTGTTCTTTCGATGACGAAAGATACGGCCTTTTCGAGATTTAAGGTATAGAAGTGGAAGCCTCTAGGCCCGGGTGTTCTTCTTGTGATCTCCTTGACCTTTTCGACGATCTCGCATAAGATATCTACACCAACGCTCTTGACCTTCTCATCGTCCATCTTCACCGCATCTAACCGAGACATTATCGCGTCCGGTATCTGAGCATGGCTGAGCTTCGTTGTTCGCTTGATCATCTGGTAACTCTGAATGGGCATGAGTCCGGGAATGATGGGAATCGTCTTGAATGCGCCGCTGGGGTGGTTCCTGAGGGTCTGCTCGAAATTGTCATAAGCTTCTGTGTCGAAGAATAATTGCGTCATGAGGAAGTCGGCTCCTGCGAGGGTTTTATCGACTAGATAGGGAAGATCATGTTCTAAACTCTGGCCCATGGGATGGCTCTCATCGGCATGGCCTTCGGGGTACGCAGCGACGCCGATACAGAAATAATCTCCGTGAGTCTTCCTTATGTACCGCACCAAATCAATGGCCCATTCAAAGGTCTCATCTATAGCATCCTCGGGGCTCTCGTTCGGATCTTTATATTCCGCGGCTCTTGGGGGGTCGCCCCTCAAGGCTAGGATGTTCCTAATACCCAATGCCTTTGCATCTTCCAAGGCCCCATCGATCAATTTCCGGCTCATGTTCGTACATGTCAAGTGTAGACATGTCGTCAGGTTCAACTCCCTCTGACATATCTCGGCCAGCTCGAGCGACTTCGTAGCAGTGGTTCCCCCGGCACCCCATGTTACATTTACAAAGAGAGGTCGCAGCGCTCGTGCCATTCGATCAAGACGGTCGCGTAAGTTGGAGAATCCCATAGCAGTCTTTGGAGGGAAGAACTCGAGCGAGAAGTAGTTGGAATCGGCCGGCAAAGCGGCTATCTTGTCTGTGATTTTCTCCATATCGAATAGTCTCGCCCAGCACGGTTTGTTGCAAACGGCGAAGGATTTCTGAAACTAGAATATAGAAGTATATTTAAATTAGACTGTCGCTCAACACAGAGGGCAAGTCGAAAATGTGTAGAGGAATTGGCCTTGTAGAGGCCGGATTGGCACGGAGGAAGTCCAGTCGATATGTAGCTACGGACGGCAACACTATAAGTAGCAAAGGCAGTGCTCATTAAATACCAAGACGTGTAATTAGTATCTTGGTCCAAAATACCGCAATTGACGTGTAATGGGCCGTCCTACAGTGTCTGACTTCTCGTAAACAGTAGATATGTAGATATGTTCGTGTCTTGCAGCTTGTACGACTGACTCCCTTTTGTGGAAATTTTACTATGTAAAAGGTTCCGGTCGGCGAGGTCTGACATCGGTGTGGGGTACCTGCATAGAACCCCGCATTACGGGACATGGAACTCACGTATGTACCCAAAGCATGGTCGAACCGGGCAAGACATTCGCTTCTTACATAATAAATCCAAAGATAGGAAGGTACTGTGGGGTGACGAGAGGATTAACCGGAGTTTACCCTTGATATAGCCGAGTATGTATAACTGAACTCCACCCATGTACACATGTAGTATGGTACATAATGATGAATCAACCGTTTACAGTACCTAGGTACTTTTGAGATGGCGGGATCGTAAACGGAGCGTCGGGTTACACTTCCAAATTCGGATTGTCTGGACCCCTGATTCGCTTCTCGGAATTATTCCCAATACTAACTAGGCTATCTGCATCCCCATCGAATTTCTAATCCAATTCTAGGTAATCCAAATCCTAATCCACCAAATCGTAGGGCGCCTGCTATGCTAATGCAATCCCAAGGCACAATGACATCTACTTCAGATAAGAACCATAGTGGACGGTCTCTAATCCCTACATTTACGCCCTACATTATTAATGTTAGGTAGACATCCATATGTATTAGTTAATCCTTTTTCTTGTCTTGTTCCATACTCCATCTTCGGAATTGTACATACTTCATCTTAAACAGTAGTTATACACAATCGTAATATCTATCTTAATCAAGAATCGTTAGCTTGGGCTCACGATGGAGGCGTCCAATAATAACATCGTCGGCACGGCGCCACCGTTGCCGAAAGACATGTCTCATCATTATTCAGATGTAACAAAGGCTCGAGCCCCAAGTAGAATGAAGGAATTCTATAAGTACTTCCAAATACCAAACATCGGCCAGCTCGCAGGTGGTATGAAACGCCTATCGTCGCCCTACTTTATCAACATTCGTGTCGATCTTTAAGGCTAATGTTAAACTTAAAATAATAAAAAACAGGTCTCCCTAATGCCCAACTCTTCCCTTTCGATACCTTGGAAGCCCAGACCGCAAAACCGGATCGATGGATCCCGACACCCAACTATCCGGACCCCGATGGCACGCTATCTTCGCGACTGGCCGCAACGTCCATCTCAAAAGGGGCCGTAGCCTCACATGTCGTCGTACCTCACGATGCCCTGGCTTCAGACCCGAGTAAGAAGATAGATCTCGCTTCTGCCTTACAATACGGCCAGGCTGATGGATACCCGCCGCTGCTTTCCTTCGTCCGCGAATTCACGCGGGATTACCTACATCCAAATGTGCCTTATAGAGGCGGACCGGAGGTTATATTCACAGTCGGTTCAACAGATGGCATGTCCAAGACATTGGAGGTATTCAGCAACGTTTGGGTAGAAGGGAGGAATGACATCCGGGAGCGGCCAGGCTTGCTGTGCGAAGTTTTTATGTACGCCAATGTGCTCACTCAGGCGCAACCCCGAGGGATCCAAGCCGTACCTATTGAAATGGATGATGGGGGTATGTTGCCGTATGGTCCTGGAAGTTTGGAGGATGCCCTTGCAAACTGGGATCACAGCAAAGGGAAACGTCCGCACATGCTGTATACCGTAACGTGAGTTTTCCCACAATATCGACCTACTTTGGGAAAATGCGCAGCTTACTAAACATAATTCTGCAGAATGGGCCATAATCCAACAAGCGGTGTCTTGTCTCTCGAGAGGAGGAAGGAATTGTATTCGATATGCAGTAAATACGACGTGATTATCATCGAGGACGACCCTTATTGGTACCTCCAGTATCCTTCGGCAGCGGTTGAGGAGGCAAAAGCGAGGGGTTTACCGATTCCCGAGCCAAAAGTAGCGAATACTCTCGAAAGGAAGTCTGGGTACGAATACCTGGATTCTCTTGCGCCGTCATTCCTGAGTATCGATACAGACGGACGGGTTGTGAGATTAGATACCTTTTCTAAGACCGTAGCTCCTGGCTGTCGGATGGGATGGATTACCTCGAGCCCGGAGATCTGTGAGCGCATCCTCCGCGTCAGCGAGACGGGCACGCAGCAGCCCTCTGGTTTCGTCCAAGTTGTAGTCGCCGAGACTATCATGGGACCGCAACCCGAGGCTTCAGCCGCATTCGTAGCCCGATCTGTGCGGAATCGGGCTACTTTCAGCGGCTGGAAAATGGATGGCTGGGTACGATGGCTAGCCGGCCTGCGAGGCCAGTATGAGAGGCGCATGAACCGAATGTGCAAAATCCTCGAAGAGAATGCGTACCAACTGAAACAATCGACACCTATGCGCGAGTCCGATTCCGATTGGGGCGTCATCACCAAGACCCAGCTCTACGACTTCCAATGGCCCCGCGGCGGCATGTTTCTCTGGCTGCACATGCGCTTCGAGACGCACCCGCTATGGAAAGCCGCCGGGTCCCGCGGCAATATCATCAACGGCGTCGCGCTGTCCACCGCGCTCATGATCTTCCTCACGCGCAAGCCGTTCCGAGTCCTAGTCAGCCCCGGCCTAATGTTCAGCGCGACCGACAAAATACGCAACGAGCGTGGCTGGGCGTATTACAGACTGTGCTTCGCGGCCGAGACAGAGGAGAACATCGACAAGTGCTCCCTGCACTTCGGCCAGGGCGTCCAAAGGTTCTGGCGCATTAAGAATGTGAAAGAGCTCGAGGCCATACTTGATGATATCAATGCGACGCAGACGCAGACGCAGGAGCAAGATGAGGCGGGTCTAATGAATTTGGGGAGTTGGGTGGGATGTTAGGGTTTTGCACGGATATAGAAAGGAGACGTAGACGAGCTGTGAGATCGGAGTTGTAAGACGTGTCACATGTATGTCCTAAGTGAGCAGCATTGTGGAATATAGCTGCTGCTCATGAAGTCAAATTATGGATATACCAGGTACCATTTGGGCATATATTTACTTGAGGGTTAGAAGATGTTTCAATTTAGAACGAATACAACGAATTAATTTCCTCGATCACAATAACCTTATGGGTATTATGTCCTAATGATATGAGCGGGACTGGATGGGCGGTCTTACGTATAAGCTACAGTGGGGCGAATTTAAAAACGTCCAAAATGTTTTTACATCTTATTACATCAACTTTAATATGATATAACTTTACCAAATCGACGTATAAAAATATAAAAAAAATGTAATATTTACATTATCTAATATTAAGTAATTAAGATATTTTTTCAAAATTTAAATGTTTAAATAAGGTTAAAATTTAAAGATATAAAAAGTAAGTTTAAAATTAACCTTATAAGTTTAATATTTATTTTCTTAGTATATTTATATAAAATTAAAAAGTTAAAAATTGGCTTTTCATGAATAATTACTTAAATATTATAATAAGATTAGTTTTGGTGTAAAAATGGCATTGGACGTTTATTTTTTCTAGTCACTGTAGTACGTTATAAGTGCTTCACGAGGTTGTAAGGTTATATCCGACGGCAATTGAACCGGGAGAAAATAGCTGCAGCAAGACCGAAGCTTAGAAAAAAGGACATAGTTACGGCACACGAACTCATAAAGCGTTAAAGAACAAGCTTGATAGATTACCCTTGAGGGGCTTGCTATGATGCATAGACGATCACCAACGAGGTGGGAAGTAGCGATCATAATAAGAATGTCATTGATTGATTCATCAGTCCCTATGATCCAGTACGCCGTGAATATTGCAACCGATTTACCGTTTCCCATCCCCTAGACTACGCTGCTCACCAAGCGAGTCTAATCTAATCCTCACGGAGGACTTCCAGGAAAGTCTTGGGGGGCTTAGGGGGCTTGCCGGCCTCTGCCTTCTGCTGACCAACCTTGTCCTTGACGAAGGTAGCGTGGTAAGGGTTGAAGCGTAATAGGACTTGCTTGTTGCGTAGAGGGTTCTTCTGCACAGCAGCGCGCTTGGTCAAGGGACCACCCTTAGGGGCGTTGAGGACGCTCTGGATTTCGGAGCTGTTGATCAGACGGCTCAGATCAGACTGGGACACTAGGTTGGAAGGTAGAAGGAAGTCCTTCTTCAGCTCTGAAGGCTTGGTAGTGGTGCCGTAGATCTTGTCGAGGGCCTTAAAAGCGGCCGAGGTCCAGACGATGAATCGTCCGAGGTGACCACCAGGGGCGAGCTGGAGGAGGTTCAGCGCGTAGACAGAGCTGGTCTCGACACCAGGAAGGTTGCGGGTACCAGTGACAATCTCCTTGCCATCAACCTCGGGGTCGTAGATAACCAAAGGTCCACGTCGCTGGCGGTGGCGGCGGCCTCTTAGCTTACCCTTACCAGCGCGCAGCTTCTTCGTCTTCTTAGCCTTCTCAATGTCGGCAGCGGCACCAACGGCGTTCAAGATGGCGAGGGCACCGGCAGTCTTGGCAGCAGCACCACCCTCGAAAGCAGCCGAGTCGATAACGAGAGGAACTTCCGGGACGGAAGAGATCTGGTGACCGCGGGCGAGCAGTAGAGGGGGGACAGCGGAAGCGGCAAGAGCAGAGGCAGTAGCGAATCGCCTTTTCGAGAGATTAGTTTATATAGTCAGAGGTGAGTCAAATTATATCACTCACTTCTGGCCCTGGTTGATCTTGATGTGCCACTTTCGCCAAATCTTGGTAGGGGCGAACATGCGACCGGAACGACACATGTTACCGAAGGCAGCCTGACCGGCACGGTGGGTACCACCACCAGAGACACGGGGAATACGGGCAACGGCACGACCTGAAGAAGCCTGTCAGTAATTGCAAAAATAGATATCTCTAGACTCGATTCCGGCGCGGAGAATCATCCATGGCAGACATTATAATCCTCATCTTCTCCACATCCAGATAATATGAAAACTACTGACCAGTTCCCCAAGATTCGGCAGAGGTTTGGTGGCCAGCCTTCTCGCTCACAGCATACGGCTGTCGCTTGTTCTTAGCCATTCCAGTATGGACTTGCTGAACGATATCAGGACGGATCGGGGAGGCAAACACGGTAGGAATGGTATGGGTAGCTCCCGAGGGAGAACCGTCCTTGCCGATGATGGTGACAGTCGGTCGAGAGGCCATCGTGAAGGTTGTGATGCTAAAAGGATGTGGGTTAGTCAATTGCGAGCATGAGAGTCGAATTACGATTGACCAGAATGGATAATTGAGGTGGAATAAAGAGAGTCTAGCTTCTGCGAACTTACCTCGACGCTGGGTGTTGACGGTCTCAAGTTGCGATTTGGTGATGTTGAACTACGAAAAATCAAAAAGCCCACCACAGAATTATTTTTCTTGTGGGTTTGAGCGAGGGCTAAGCGAATTTTCGAAGTATAACCCCACTTTTCTGCACACTAACTCTCATAGATGAATTATGCATCTAAGTAGTAATTAGGTCATACATCTGAACTTAGGAGACATGAGACATGACATTTCATAATAGTTTACAGGGCACTACATAAATTTGAACCAGGTCTTATTGCGGATTGTCCTATTGTTCCTTTTATGTCTACGTTAAGATTGATATACGTGTAAAATTCAAGATAATATAGTGATAACTGCACCTTCAATAACCCTAATTTAACCTGGATATCAAGTACTTAGAATCAATAGCTTCAAGAGTTACCCCTCCAATATACTTTAGGCGATGATAAGCCGTTCACTCACAAGTGCCAATTGAACTTTTAGCAAGGATTTTAACAAGACAAGATCAATGACGTCCAAAAAATTTCAATAGAGGAAAGAATATAGTCCCAATAAATGCAAAAACAAACTCCGAATCGGGGAATCGAACCCCGGGCTTGACGGGTCATTGATTGTTACATCTTGAGAGCGTCAAATGTTAGCCACTACACCAATTCGGATTGATGTTTTATTAGTCGTATAAAATCCTTATTTATATCCCATCCTTTCAGCCGGCGGTAAAATCACGGTTCGCAGAGTCGTTGTTAGGTAAAATTTGCGTCATCGGTCGATACCTAGATACCATTAATTCTAATTTTAACAAGTTCGGCTTAATGTAGCGCCTGGATAAAGATATTAAGTGTCTTATACAGAAGTGTGGAACTGGTCTTGTAGAATGCATTGTTGATTCTCAAGTCTTGTGGTCTTGCAGGCCCTACTCAAATAGCGTACACTATGATCAATTGCCAACACGCTCTCTGATCTACGATACCTGTTGAGCCTTATGCTCGGTATATCTTATTTTGCGTCTCCTTCTTGCCTTGCTATCGTGCCTTGTGTCTGCATACCCCTTGCCGTACATGTATGTTCCTGATCAATATAGGTCATTAGATCGACCATCGCAGTCTGATCTTCGAGTCTTGTCTTCCGAGGTCTGGTTACCAAGGCCTGCACACTCTTATTTAACACATAAGGTCCTCCGCATCCCTTGATCTCTCTCGATGCTCGTATGCGATCTTTGGTTTATAATTGCCGCTGCTTTTGAATGGTATTGTTGTTTGAGCTACCTTGGCCGTCCGATCAGTTCGTTCTTCGTGTTGCTTTTCTAACACGCCCTCTAGACGTATCTTGATTTCCCGATACGCCCTTTGGCTTTGTATTTTATCGCTCGAAGAAGAGCCTGCTGGCCTAGGATAGGTATCTATCCAGCGCCGTTGTACTGTGACGCGTACCTCTCGCATCGCCATATTCCGTACAACCCGAACGTATTTCTAACGCGTCATCTCTCAACGCGGAACCGCGATTCCAATACAGTGGCCTCATTCCCTGGTCTACACGCAGGAATCGATGCCAAATCCGACATCAAACCGGTGGTGAAGCCACCATGCGGAACTGGTCTTGTATTACGGAATGCGTTGTTGGTCTCAAGGACTATAGGGACTAGGTCTATTATAAGGTATCCAGCCCTAGGGCTCGTTCCTACCCTTGATGCCTGGCAAGTGACTCACGTCCGTTCGCAACCGTAACATATCCTAATGACGTGGATCACCTAGCAACACTAAGAAATAAGTTTTAGCTATAATAGTATATTTACAGGTCGCAACTTAGCATATCATCGGCTGCTACAATCGCATATTGGTACTACATTAATTAATTAAGTTGGAAAAAGGCCTGTTACAACCCGTCCGAGGTCAGTCTTTCTAGGTAGCTTAACTCACGGACTCTGGTCTTATAAGGATAGCAAACAAATATTTGCGTACGTGGTTTGTCTGATCGTATCTGGCCCATCTATAAGAAACCTAACCTAAGAACCTAATGAATTCGCCAATAACGACGTATACTACTTAACCTACTATAAAAGAATTATGGTCCGATTGAGTTACGCGGAAGGCGGATTGCCCCGGAGTTTGAGTATCGGGAAGTCAATTAAGTAAGATTATACCTATATGTGAATAATCTTGCATATATTATAAGTGAAGTCAAGCATGATTCTGCGACAGTAATAAAAGCCGATGTAGTACCTAACAGCAAACTTAAGTCCACGTGGGACACCGTCACAATGGGATTTCCCTTATCTATGTACCTATGTAGTATAGGTAGACTGCAAAAGCCTAAGCAAACCGCATCTATCATATCACATATCACAAATATTTCTTACAGTATTATCCGACTTTACAATTGCTTCGATAACATTCGTCGGTTTGAGTTGTTTGCTTTGGTGAGATGGCGGGCGCCAAGATGTAAGAGGAAGTTACAAATTCAAATAGTGCCGAGTTGGAGACGCCGATTGCATGTATATACATAGGTAGGTACTGCTCTTGCAGAAAGTCTAGATCTTTTCTATGTAGGTCAAGGGACCCATTAAACTTAGCCTTCCCGAGCCGTTGCTGATCCTCGTCGCAAACCATTAATTTTGAAATAGACCCACCTTATGCACGTGTTTCCATTTGGATAGCTACATATCGGATCGAAAAAAAAGAACATAGTATTTCTTATTTCCTTCCACATCCAATAGCGCTTAAAGCTGGAAGTATTATCTGCTTATCCGAAGCCTTTAATGTTGCCTGTGTTCAAAAGACCACATATTACACCGGTGAAATTTTAAGTCCGGTCATTAGCGATTACATACGACATGACTACATACGACATGACTACATACGACATGACTACATACGACATATGCTATCTTTTTAGAACCATCAAATCGTCGAGGTACTTGCGGCTCCACTTATCCCAACTCAGTGTGAGAACCTCGTCACTACTATATACGTACTAGTTATAGCAAGATAGATCGCTCGGACCAACTTCTAACTTACAATTCCGAAGACCCGAAAACTCGGCCAGTGCCGTAATAGTCATATATAAGGTATCCACGTCATCGGCCATCCGTAAGTGTTTGCCCGGGCATGGTGCTGACGGCCGACGGTTTGAAGTCGTTTACCATAAGGTTCTATCAAGCCTACCTATCTTTATACTGGATTCAATTATACCAAGCTTGAGATGCCGTGCTACCGAAAGGCAGGCTACTTATCATTTGCAAGGCATTGTTTATACTAATACGGAAAGCCCCTCGTCTTGGTGGCTTACGAAAACGAATTCAGCTGGTCTGGAGTGGTTAATTAAACGCGGAACTGATCGAATGACTGCTTAGCCTCTGACCAGCAATAACAGCCACATAGATTTAGGGTAACAAAGTATGGACTATCCACTAATGACTCAATCGGAATGCTCAACATGTATCTATACGATCCTTTCTGTTCCTTGGGGTCCTCCCGCGCCCATACTCTCATCTGCGACGTAACATGTAAAACATCCGTTGATATTTAACGGATACTTGTGAGGCATCTCCAGTCCACTCTTGAGATATAAACGTCAAAGAGTCAATGCACCACACGTTTATATTTCTATAATCTATAAACAAACATACGGGGCTAGTTATTCTAACCAACTTACGGCTTAAAGTTGCCGCCTAAGGCCATCGCAGACCAGTCCGCTTTCGACCGGTATCCGAAGTAGCATTGCATCTTGCATTAATGGGAGGTCTCGTATTTTATAGCTGCAGGGGTCTTGCAGCCGTCAGTCTCGGCGGCTCGCCCTCCTATCTCGCAGAAATTGCCCAAATGTTACTAGGCATGAGACGATAGTCGAGGCGACGGTAAAATACTATATTGTAAGTACTCAGATACCTCTTATAACATTATCATCATGGATCTCGAGTTCGGCTTCTATGTTCTCTTTCCTTATATCGACCCGGATATCTATCAGTTGAGAACGTCGTTGTCCGGAGGGGATCTTGTTGATGAGAACCATACTGCTAGCTCCACCATTCGACATTTCGTACCTTCAATTTAATATCCTATGTGGGCTTCATCTTACCTTATGACGCGTTGGAGGATCATGATTTGGCGGATGGTGTTGTTATGCATTCTCACAAGAGCCGATCCAATTTGGCCGTCTCCCAACGATGAACTCGAGGAGATCATGTACCAAGTCGAAGGCTATAGGGCCAGAGACTTTGGCGGGACTGTTATTCCGTGCTCTAACGAAGCATCCGGACCTGGTCGACAGAATGCTGCTGAATGGTTACGGGCAGCGTTTCATGATATGGCTACAACTACATATCTGAGCAACATACGAGCTGGCGGCTTAGATGGCTCCTTACAATACGAGCTAACCAGCTCGGACAATATCGGCCCAGGTTTCAATACAACCCTTAAGTTCATGGCCGATTATTATACGAGTCGGTCTAGCGTTGCAGATCTAATTGCTTTGGGCGTATACTATGCCGTTAGGTCTTGCGGTGGTCCGGTAGTGCCTGTTGCCGGTGGAAGGGTCGATGCTCTTGCGGCTGGTCCCATAGGCGTTCCGCTACCACAGAATACTGCCTTCACATTCGAGCAACAGTTTACACGGATGGGTTTTAGCAAGACCGAGATGATCCAAGTCACCGCATGTGGTCATTCTATTGGTGGTGTTCATGAAAAAGAATTTCCAGAGATCGTCCCGGTTGGGTCTACCGCAAACGGCGAAGCTCCCTTGGACTCGACTGTTGCAGCGTTCGATAACAAGGTTGTCACCGAATATATTGCTGGTAACACTACTAATCCCCTGGTGGTTGGTCCATCGATCAAAGCCACTAGGAACGCAGACTACAAGGTGTTCAACTACGATAGCAACGTCACAGTCAAAGCAATGGCAGGTGCTGCTGAGTTCAATAGCATATGTGCAACTGTTCTTCAGAAGTTGATCGATACTGTGCCTGATGGTGTGGTTTTATCTGATCCTATTCAACCATATTCTGTAAAGCCAGTTGATATGCAGTTATCACTTAACTCTGACCCGTCAACAATGCAGCTGACTGGGCTTATACGTGTTCGAACTACTGACATAGGAGGGGATTCTGTCTCTAGCTTAACGCTGAACTACAAGGACCGAAGCGGGAGTACTAATTGCGGTGGCACGAACTGCGCATACACGGCAACTCTCCTAGGTTCCACTCAGGGTTTCGATGACCAATTTATTGTAAGTCCACCACACAACACAGGGTTATATTCCTAGCCTAGGTCTAATATGTGTCAGTGGTTTCCCATTAATACTGCTATCCCAACATCCGCGGGAATTTCATCTTTCACTGTAACCCTTAATATGGCCGACGGAACCACCCGAACATACGATAACAATGGAAACACATACCCAATGCAAGACACCATATTCATTCAAAAACCCCAAAGCTGCCTTCTTTCCGGCACTCTCACTATTACCGCAGCTGTAAGCTAACATATATTATCTTAATCGTAGGCAGTTATTGATTTATTCTTATAGGTCCGTAACGACCGTAAATCCCTTCCTGTAAATATGTTCGTCTCATACAAGACCTCGACGGGGGATCCTAATCGTCCAATTCCCACCCTAAAAAATGCCACGATTACCATGACAGAAGGTACTTGCGTAGGCTCATATACTTTCTATACGGCCGACTTTACTGGCCTCGGCGATCTTGCGTATGCATCAAAGATCGATGTCATTAGCGGGAGCGACTCATCATCTGCTACTGATGACTTTAATGCTGCAAGCGAATTAGAAGCAACATGCAAGCCCTTCCAAACCCCACCAACTTCTGCGTGTACTACCGGACAGCTATCAACGTCTCCCGGATCACCAACTACCTCATCTACTTCTGTTTCACTATCCACTACTTTCTCTACCACCGTGAGCACCAAAACTACTTCTTCTACAGCACCAGCTGAGACATTGCATCATAGGCAGGAAATTGGTGAGTATGTGCTTGTCGGATGCCAGAAAGAATCAACTGTACAGGGAACCCGAGCGCTCGGTGGCGCCGCATTTGCTTACGATAACATGACACTTGAAGATTGTATGAACAACTGTAGTAACTATATTTACTGGGGCACAGAATATAGACGAGAAGTATGTAACATTCATACGTCCTCTCCTTTTAACTAACAATAGGTGTTGGACCCCTAGTCGAGCTGATTAGGGAGTTCGCTCCTAAGCCATCCCTACTTATCGCTTAAAGAAGCAATCGCTGACTTTTATTCTGCAGTGTAAGTTTCTAAACCCGAAAGAACGGCTAGTAAGTAATGCGACTGACATTGATATAGGTTACTGTGGCAACTCGCTCCATCCGACGAGCGAAGACGCGCCCTTGACTGATTGTAACATGGTATGCGGTGGAGATGCTACGGAATATTGCGGTGATAGCAATAGGATAGAGCTGTACAGCACCACAGCTAGTCAGCCGGCCCCGACTGCTACACTTGCTCCCAAACCAACCGTGTCATCATACGTCCGGGTCGGCTGTTATAATGAGATTCCGGGTGGCCGAGCTCTGACTGGAGCAGCCTACGCAGATGATACTATGACGCTGGAAATATGCGCAACCGACTGTGCTGGATTCGAATACTGGGCAACTGAATATGGCCGAGAGTGCTACTGTGGGAACACCATTGATAGTCTCAGTACGCCAGCTCCTGATGCTGATTGTCAAATGGTATGTGCTGGGGATCGTTACGAATATTGCGGAGCTGGAAATAGACTTGAGTTATATCAACTAGCAACAGCTTCTTCGACACCCGCGACGAGCACGTCGAGTCTGGTGTCTTAGACGGTTGGGAATTTATGAGAGGTTATGGAACGGATTAGATATGGGGATTATATGACACTTCATGTTTATGATTAATATTTAGGTACTTAGATAGATTGATGATTATTTAGTATAAGTAGCATCATATGAGCAGAGAGTTATGATTTGTAGATAATAAGGTAATAGAGAATGAAAGTTAGGGGTATATTATTTATCTTATTATCGGAGAGAAGATGTTGCTCTTCAAATAGGTATTATACCTACCTACATGTAATCCGTATGGAGGTACAAACCTAATGTACCTAGGTTAAGGCTCTCCCAAACGTGGATACCCCTGGCTGGTTTGGTGGTGGGTTGTGGCACGTCATTACACTAGTGTAAGCCGGTTTAATGCAAGGCTGTAGGTGACCCTGAGTACAGTGTATACCTGTTTGTATACACAGTGGCAGCCAAATTCTCAAATACATACTGGCAGCCGCAGCTCCTGCAGAAATCCAATCTTGACTACCTAATTCCATGCGAATGGATCTTTGGTTGCATGTAGGGAAGGCGTGGATCACGAATCATATGCGCAGATACGTACTAAGCAATCACCCCCATCACCCCCCACCCTGCTTTTCTGAAGTCTGCAGTCTACAATATTGGATATCGCACTTTCACTAGGCCAATGCTGTAGTTTTGCCATGATCATTATCTCTTCTAGGTTTCTTCCGCAAAGGACCTTATCGTAAACTTACTATCTCGTATTGCAAGCGATCTCTTAAATCACCGGGTTTCCCTAGTTTCCCTACGGCAAATATCCGCAGCTTCTTTCTTCAACGTTTTCGCTAAAAAAGCGATGCCTATTTGCATCCGTCGCATCCTATTAGCATATCTATATGCTACGAAAACGAGGGCCTAGAGTCAAGCATGTCGACTGGTACGTCTCTGATACCGGCCTCCGTTTACAAACGGGCATTTGCCAAAACCTGTTAACTCCCAAATCACAGGGACACACCCTCCACAAATCCAACCTCACCTGACATTCTTTCCGAGATCGCCGGGGAGGTTCGAAAGTCCGAACAACGGCCGACCTACGCTGAACTAAGCCCTACTTCACCTCGATACGGGCTCTTGCAATATGCCTTGTCTCCCGGTACGTGCTTGAGGCAGACAAATACACTTTGGGATGGGATCTAATTCTCGCGACAGAGGAAAGATCGTCTTAACTTACTGGGTGGTGTCAAACCTGTAAATAATCTTAATGGAAGCAAGCAGAACTCCTCGCGCTCTGCGCAATCATCACCCATACGTCGCCCTTCAGACTCGTCACCTGCGCCACCACCAAAACGGCAGAAAGTCGAAGAGTACAATGCACACACCCAGGCCCACTTTGTCCTTGCATTTGACCACGATGGGATTGCTGACCGGCCTAATCCGCGCAAACGTTCCCTTGACAACCGCAGCGAGTCTCAACATACCGTTATATCACAATCGTCCACCAAAGGAGCGCCGTCGACCAGAGCGAAAGTCCCCGAATTTCGATCCACGGAAAGTTACGTGAGACCGTCGCCTAAGAACAGGCCTCGGCATAACACTCCAAAGCAGTATGCAGGACAACTAGATAGAGAGGTTGTTGCCGGAACTCCTTTGCTAAAGTCCGATAGTGAGGATAGCGACGGAGATGTGGAGATTATCGGGGCAGAGGTCATGGTAACTCCTCAAACACAGCAAACTCAAGGAGTACGGTACTCTATTGAAGACTTTGGAAAGCGCTTCAAGACAACATCTGGCGCTCAGAAGATGGAGGAAATCATTGACAGTACGATGCTGAAGGAGGACGGGTCCAATGACTTAGTTTCCAGCCCGGATGAGCTAGCACCAGAAACGCAAGACATGAGAGAAAAGATGCCAACAAAGCGACCTACTTTATCCCCGAGTTTGTCTAAAAAGGGTGACATTCCACGAACGAAATTCGCCCCGCCGTCTCGTACTAGACTGCAGGACCCGGGGAGAGGGCTTAGCGAATCGGATCATATTACGAAAATCGTCAACTCGCCTCTTCGTGTCATTCGGGCTGTATCGGGCGGTCACAAATACGAAGGGAACAAAACGGACGGCGCAAATGAATGTTTCTTAAATTTACGAGAGATGAGCTACATACTCCATCCGGTGAATTCAGAAGGTCAACTGATGAAAGAATACGCATATCTTACGGTCGATCTTCGAAAGGCTAAACGGATTCATGCTCCATCACAACCCAATTGCCTTGTGGCTTCGATTCACCGTGCTATCGACGGCGCAACAAGTGGTGGCCAAAGGTTATGGATCGAATTCTCGTCTCCTAAGGACTTTGGAAAGTTCGTCAATTGGGCGAGGGACACTGGGCCAGATGGTCTGGTGAATGAGTCTTTTCCTCGGTAAATTTTGATAACCCGCTGTTTTGGGAGGCTGCTAACATAACCTCTAGGGATCGCCTTGAGAAGGAACTTGAAAACATGATGCGAACCGCTGCCAACCGCACTGTTATTAGAGACGACATGTCAAGGGGAGATGATGTGAAGTTGATCGAGCACAACTTGGCAAATGCAAATCAGGCAAGGGCTGCCAACCTACCGTGTGTCCCAGTTCGACAGGGGAAGTCGAAGGACACGATGAGGCCGCATTCTGCATCTCTGTTAAACTCCAAGACAACGGTCACATCAGATGGCCCTCAGCCCTACAGTATTCGGCGACAGCCACAAAAAACTCGTTCTACATTTGCATTAGAAGGCCCTAGTTCGGAATCCGAGTCCTCCGAGCCTGAATGTTGGACAACCCAGCATATAGGCTGGGAGAAAGATTGGCGCAATTCTCTTGTGTTCCCCTTTCATGGCAAGAGTAGAGCTACCGTTGACAAGGAAGATATTCCTCGATTGGACGAGGGTCAGTTTCTAAACGACAATATAATTATTTTTTATCTGCGTTATCTCCAACATACATTGGAGGCAGAAAGACCGGATCTTGCTCAACGGATCTATTTCCAGAACACATATTTTTATGAGAAGCTCAAGTCTACGAGGACGGCTCAAGGTATCAACTATGATAGTGTCAAAGCGTGGACATCTAAAGTCGACCTCTTTACGAAAGATTATATTATCGTCCCAATCAATGAATTCACTCATTGGTACGTCGCAATTATCTACAACGCACCAAAACTCCTCCCTTCTCCAGGCAAGACGGAGAGTACCGCTAAGAACACGATCATTATCGAAGAGGATGTCGACGATTCTAGAGAAGCCTCCCGTGAGGTTTCTAGCGCCTCTCCCGATAATGGGAAATCAGCAGATGAGCCTAGAAGCATTGACGCAGTGAGATCTGAATTACAGAACGATGTCACGAATCACTTTAGCCGTATGTCAATCGAAAGCCCGGACTTTCCAGATGGTATCGCTAAACAGACAATAGCTCCGGAGCCAGAAAATCAGAAGACGGATGCACAGCTAACCAGTTGTAAACAAGAGGTCACGGATGTGCGGCACGATGATATAAAGGGGGATGTGAAGCATATTGTGTCATCGACTGACAACCTCCAGCGGAAGAAGACAACGAAAGTATACAGCGCGGGCACCAGGAAACATAGTCCAGATCAGCCAAAAATTATCACGCTCGATTCATTAGGGTTGGCCCATTCCCCAGCTTGTAGCTGTCTAAAACAGTATTTGATTGCAGAGCTCAAGGATAAGAAAGGCATTGAAATACTGAATCCTGGGGCTTTGGGTATGACTGCTAAGGAGGTCCCCCAGCAAACAAATCACTGCGACTGCGGACTATATCTGCTAGGATACATAAAAGAGTTTCTAAAAGATCCCGACGGATTTGTTCGTAACATCCTCCTACATAACCACATCGCCTGGGATCTAAATCCATCGGAGCTCCGAAACAACATTAGAGACTTGATTTTTGATCTTCAGAAGAAGCAGCAACGTCGAGAAGATATTCATAGAGAAGAAAAGCGCAACAAAGCAGGCTTGCTGAAGAGAAAGATTAGGGGCCCAATAGATGAGCGGCCCCTCAAACAATTAGCGAAGGAGCAGGATATCAACCGAGGTGCGTCTGAGCCCCAAAAGGATGAGGGTATCCCCAAGGAGAACAGTGTGGCCAAGCCTAAACCAAAATCACCTACTCCCGAAGTCTCTCTAGAAACCAGACCTGCTTCTAATTCGGAGAACCGGCCTATTCCTGGTTCATTTCCTCGGTCGCCGGCCGTGGCCAGCGCTAATATAAGCGCATTTAACATGATCAACCCTGAACAAGCTAAGGTTCCGAAGTTCGTCTCGCCACTCCCTGAATCCCCCCGTGGATCTTCACCAGAAACTCTCGTAGTTCTTGAGGATCCAGAAGCACACCAGGGACAAGGGCAGAGCGCCAATCATATCCATAGCGATCTCAAGCGAGCCAACTTACCAGAAGAGCCAGTTAGAGAGATCGAAAGGACCTACCAAAATCAAGACAGACCAGCCGATCAATCCCAAGATCAAGAGATAATAACGGTAAGCCGCTACTTCGCCGGTCGGCAACCCGGCGATAAGATGGTCTCGGCCAAATTACGCGAGGAGCCGCTTCACTCGGATGTTATTGATATTTCGGACTGAATTCTGCAGGCCAACACAGGGAGGTGCTGGAGGTCGGGAGAATACATAAATGAGGGTGTTTATCTCACTAAGGAGCATCGGGTAACATCATAGTGACTTCATACATGTCTGCATAAAAACGGCGTCGGGGCGGTTGTGTTTGAAAAGTTTATCCCTGTATACCCCTTGTGGAGAGCGACTCTGGCTTTGCTCCGCGAGTCCGGGGCGTTACGTAGGATGGTCAATGACTAAAATACGTCTAACTGTACTTTTTATCTTGGTGTGCGTAGATCTGATGTTAAGCGTTTCGATTATTGCCTTTTCGTGTACCGTTGTCGTTAGGCATTGCCGCGTAGTCTCCCAGGGGCAGCGATGGTCTCGAGAGTAGAGAGCTACGCAGTTAGAGCGAAGGATATTTGACCGTGAATAAACAGTATTATCTACTAATATTCATCACGAGCCCTCCGTAAGTATTCCCTGCAGGTACAATTTATCACTTATACCTCCTTGCTCTTGTAATTATCCGCCTTTATCGACACTCAGGTTTAGAGCGTCTCTTACATCCACGCGTTATATAACCAGGTGATTTCACGGTCACGGGTCTGCAGGACAGAATAAGCCACCAGGTCAACGTCAAGATTCATAACGCGTAGGTTAGATTTTAATTTTCTACAAGAAACCGCTATATTTCACCTCCCCTCGCGTAAAAAAAATTTATTTTTTCTTTTCTTTTTTTGGTTTCTTTTTCTACCGCGGCTTCTCGCCGTCCTTCTTCTTCAGCGCGGGCAACGCGAACGCGTTGCTAAGCCCGTCGGCCATCTTCTTCCACAAGGCGAAGTCGGAGTCCTGGTTCCAGGTCAGGACGCCGACCCAGGGCTGCACGTTGTAGTGCACGCGCAGGGTGACGTGGTCGGTGGAGGCGATTTTCCCGGTGGGGTGGGTTATTTGGTATTTGGGCTTTTGGTTCTTGAGGGTGAGTTTGCCGCTGGGAGGAGGGGTGGGTTGGTTAGTTGGTTATTTTCTGGAATGGTGTCCGGTGGGATTCCCCCTTTTGACAGAGGGGGGAGAGGAGAGGAGGGGAGGAGAGGGGCATACCGGCTTGGGTCTATGGTCTTGCCGGCGGCGCTCTTGCGCAGCTTCTTAAGGGATGCGGGGCCGAGGTTGCTTAGGTGGTCGGCGCTCGGGCTCGTGATGATGGAGTCCCAGATGACGGCCTTGTTGGTCTGGTTTGTGCCGTGGGCGGAGGGCCATTCGGCTGTTACGTATACGAAGAGCTGCTTGGTGTTCCAGGTGAAAAGCGACGAGAGATCGGCGTCTAGCGAGAACTTGATTATGGCGTATTCTTCCTTCTTGGTGCTGTAGTAGTGCGGCCGGCCCTTGACTCTTTCCCCCCCTTCGTGTCAGCTAACCTAGGATCTAAGATATGTGGTTGGAGGAGAATGGATGGATGGCTCTCTTACACTTGGACGTTGGTCGGCTTTATGGTCGCGCTCGGCGTCCGGGGAGCGGTGAGGTCGGAGGCGGCGATTAGGGCGGCGATGACGAATGCGACGGTGGTGAAGAAGCCGAATACATTTTGTATTCTGGTTAGGGAGTTGTACATGATGACGGACGAGATCCCCAAGTTTGGGGGGAGGGAAGAAGGATTGGGGACAGCTAGTGGGAATATAGGCCGGTTGGTGACATAGAAATTGGCTCGGTAGTTATAGTCGTCGGTGTTTGTCGTCGCTCACATGTAAGACAGATAGATCTAAGATAAGATGTGAGGCCACGTACATAGGTACCTAGGTAACCTAGGTATGTATTGGAGGTCTATCAAGGTCCATTATCGATAATTGCTTATCGGTTTCTTATCAGTATTCCGTAATGTGAAATTGTGTCACTTCTTGGCACCCCTATTTCATTGTGGGTCAAGTTCTCCCCCCCCCTATTCCGACTAGTTACTCTTATACAGGACACTATATTCTCGTGCCTTGTAAGTTTTAAAGTCATCATCAACTAGTTGTTTCTAAGCTTCTTAGATCCACCTCGTGACCTTTTCATATTATATTGCGAAGGTTTCTCGGGTTTAGACTTGGGTTCTTCGCGACGATATGCACTGGCCAGATCTGGTCCCTAGCATTTATATCTTGTCAGCGTTTTTTTTAAGGGAAGAGGGAAGTAGGTCGATGCCCATCGCTTACCCATTCCGAAGCATGGGCGTCCAACGGGGCAAGCTGAAGTGTGCCATCTGGGAGTACTAGACTTTGGACGCCTGAACTCAGGAGGATGGTCGCCAGTATGTTTTTGGGCTCCATGCTGACGATGCTGTTGCTTAAGACTTTGTCTGAGTAAGATTATATCGTCTCGTCTCTCGGGAGTTCCGATTAGATTCAAATAAATTTTGAGCCTGCTGCAGATGATGGATTCAGAAGCTTTTAACAAGTGTAGGGATGCCGAGTTATCCCAATTCCAAGTGTCTGAGACAATAAGGACTATAGAGCACATAGGCAGGCATTAATGCCTCCAAGACATATATATGCTTATGCACTTAGCCCTCCCTTGTCGATGATCAGCACGAGGATATCTCTTCTCTCGAAGACCACGGGGCCACGCAGCACCGGGAGGGCAGAAGATCGATTACGCAGCGATGATCACTCACGGATAAATTACAACAGAATACAGCAACTCTGGGTGGTGAATTGGCACAGCGCTTCGGTACGTATGTTGAATACCATGGTCGGCATCCATTTGCCGACTTTTTGTCAAGCAAAACGAATCAATTGAGTTTCTAGATGGTAGCAGCTTGGAGAGCCAACCATGAAATAACTCAAAAGTGATGTAGCTTCTATAGAGGAAATATTCGGGAAAATAGCCGCGCAGAGGCAATGATCATCGAGGGTTAAATAGCAGCTTACCGGCTATGCTGGGGCTGAGACGATCATTATACGATTCAAGGCGTGCCATGGATGATACAGGGCCATGCTAGGCTCACATGCTCTAATATAGCCAGGACGCTTTGGATATACAAATCCTTCTTTTTTCAACAGAGCAAATAGTCAAACCAACATCTCATGATAATCGTAGTAAATGTTTCCGCCCGCATTGCATCGCTTCCAAGACGCTTCGTTAAAGCTCATCATATGTGCATAGATAATGTGTGGACAGCATCGCTGTCATTCTTAACTCAAGTAACAGGTAACAGATATAAAAGATGGAATCCAGAAAAATGTGTTAAGAGATAGGTAGCAAATAAGCAAGGGTAAGACATACAGCAACCTGAACGAAATAGAGCTCGTATTGTTTACGGCCACGCCAGCTCGACAGCATTCTCGGAAAGCTCGACGTCATTCTTCCGAAGATTTGCGCTGTCAACTATAGCTAGAATTGGTAAAAGTGTGTTTTGGCGGAAGAGGCGATAATAAGGAAGGGTAAAGAGGTTTATCGCGGCGCGGCCCGATGACGAGGCTGCCTTACGAAAGGCAATCTTACCACGGTCCATTCAGGATAGTAAGGTAGATAATATTTAGGGTATAGATAATACTGATAATACTGTGTCTTTATTATTTATAGATAGTAGTCTTATTTTGATCTCTGGGTCTAAACGATGGCTTTATGGGTAACCTACCTAGGTATGTAGTATGTAGTAGTGAGCGATGATGGTGAATTATAATTAATTTATAAGTGGCGGTCATGATGATCAGTTTCACAATAGGCGATAAGGCGTTAAATTCAAAGGTCAGCCTACATACGTACGTGGCTGTAAAATACATACCATCGAGAGACCGTCGCTAATAGAAGTATAAAAACCAACGAAAATGTAAGGTAAGCTTTAATCAATATTCAATATAAAACAACCAAGTTCGATAAATGTAGCAAATATGCATTACATTTACACACTTCTAAATATACATACATATGCATATGTATCATCTATACTACTCGATCTATACTACTCGCCTCGTGCCTATGGCTCCTATTTGTTAAGAGTCTCTTTGTTAATACCCCCTTACAAGTTACTGCTCCCTATAGTCCCAATGGTGTTCGCTACGCCTCAGCGCAGCCTCTATTTCGGCACCTGTTATTCCATGCTTTTTTTCAAGATGGACTCTGAACCTGTCTTCATCCGTCTCACGCTGGACTTCGTCTGAACAGTTATCCTCACTGCAATAGAAGTACCTCCTAACGTATCTCAGGCAAATGTCCCCCTTTAGTTATTTCTAGGGTAGGCACACGCTTAGGTATATTGACACTTAGTTAACAAGGGCTATATCCCACATGATTGCAAGTTCTTGTCGATACAATAACATACCATATATGTTAAACTTATTAAGTTGGAGCTATCTATCTCCTTAACGTCTTACCACTTGTGATTATTAATAAATGCCAGCATGATACCATCTGATCAAAATCATCCCTTTCGATATATATCACCCGTGTATCGAGTATCAACACATCGCTAACTCGCTCAGGTAAATCTAACCGCTCACCCCTATTTTACTATTAAATCCCCTTGCAGATAGGTAGTACACCAGACACGTTGCAGATGATCATGATTTTATACACAGAACGGGTGACTATATACAGCACCCAATATCATTACAAGTATCTCTTCTGAGACGTCTGGGAATGTCATCAACTATGCCGTGGCCCACCACAACCATTGCGTATAAACGTAACCATGCAGCCCTCATAGCCTCTCTAGCGGTCGTTTCGTTCCTAATTGTACATGATTTCGCGGGTCCCTGATTATCGTCATCCGGACGGGACAGAGCTCAACCTCGCGTGAGCCTAATACTGGGAGTTATCAAATAATAACCTGGAACCGGTGCGAAAAGAGTCTATAATAATCATTTTTTCACGCAGAACCCAACCTACCCGGCGACGGTTGTGCCTTATATAGAAGCACAAAAATGCTCGGTAAGGCAGTATAAGAGAAACGGTGGGAGCTGCACGAGATCTCCAGCACGCCAGTCCTCTAACTATGGTTTGAGTCCTGGTGCTGGATTACTGAGATCGTGTATTAAGGGCGTGAAGGCGGGAGAGGGGAGCTTCTATGGAGGGAAAGTCGTCCAAATATGGCAGAGATGGAGACTTAAAAGGGGATATTAGGAGACGCCTGAGCACCAAGAGCTTCTTGTTGCTCCTGCAGTTCCTCACCACCAGCTTCTATGCTAATTCCAAGACCGACCTTGGCGGATTGCTAAGAATTAAGTAATTAGAAGAAATTCCACGTCTAGAAATCTCAAAACAAACTTACAGTGAAGTGGTCGACATCAGCGCAGAAGGACATCATGACAGGTGGCGCCACGCGCTTCTCTAGTATGCAGCCCAGTTTTCCCTTGGAATCGACCTGCGCTCGGAATGTTGACATACGGAAATCGTATTTGATACCAACAGATGTAAGTCCCTCCTTCTGCAAGCTACCTCCCATCAGACCCCCGGGGCCGGGAGCCACCTGGAGAGTCATGTCGACACCGGCTTGGACCTTATCTGTCAACCTCCGCCAGTAGGTTGTGTTAAGGGCGCCTTGCGCATGGATTTGGGCGGTTGCGATCCAGTCGTCGGATTTATACTTTGCGCAATACGATAGGGCAGACTCGGGCGGCTGATTCAGCGCAGCGCGTTGCCAAACGGCCTCGATACCGAGGGCAAGTTTGCGGGTAATAGATTGGAGATGGCTTAGGATGTAAATACCAGTCAACCCACCCTCGAGGTAGGAGGGGTTGAGCATCTTGAGGGAAGATGTGAAATCACTGCCCGTATATTCGTGTTCAATTGAGGCCATATCCTGGGCGCCTATAGAAAATTGCGTCTTGGTGACAAACGAGGGGTTCCAGCGGTAGTTGAATCTTGTCGATAGCATGCCATTGTTATCCATGCTCCCTTGGAGGAATACCTATAGCGAAGTAGATTACTTGTTAACTTGACATTTGTTCGCGGGTAATGGAGGGGTTGACTAACTTTGTTGGTACCAAAAAGACCTGCAAAAGCATAAGGATTCTGATGCTCACCCATCGCAAACTGATGCGATACCTGGAACAACGGCGATAGACTGACTGCCTTAGTCAGGTCTGCTCTTATGCCAGTGTGCATATAATTGGCGAGAGAAACTTCGCGCTGGACCTCCTTTGCGATAGTCTCGACGGTGCCGGGATTGGACAAGCCGAGCCTGGTCCGTCGCTCTGAGAATGACTTGTATACATCGGAAACTGCATTGGCTATAGGGTTTGCGGTTAGGAAGCCTAAGGGCGACGGCCCAGACGGTTGCGACTCGAAGTTGAAGGCCATGGTGGAAGCAGAGCTGTCAGGCTGTCAGGGCAGACTGACGTCTTTGATAAGAAATGACGACAGAAGATACGGCAAACCACAATTTGGAAAGAAAAAAAAAAGACTTGAAGGGTTGCTTTTATGATAAATACGAGGACTCGATGAGTAAGTACTACTAGTACTACTGAAGAATAGTTACCCAGCTTCCCTCGTCTGCGAGCTGCCGACAATTGGGTTGAGTTGTCGTTTTTTAGTAGCTTGCAGTGGTGCCAAAGGAAAAAAAAAAGATTCTTGGTGCAGGCGGCTGTAAGATCAAAGATCCTGGTTGGTGAAGGTCTCCATTTTCGTCAACGGAATAATCCTTGTGCCGCTCTAAAAACCTTAACTTTCACAGCTTAGGTACCTTCAGTCCCGGGTCACATGTAGATAAATGGGTACGTACCTTTGTGACGTACCTTCAATGTTGCGTCACCCGTTTCTCCCCGTCCTTCCCCGTCCTTACGTAAACTCGGTCTCAGCCGCCTTATTCAGATCCATAGATGCGCCTGAAAGAAAGGTCCAAACCCACATTGTGCATGAAGCACCCGCTTTCTATTTGTGAATGATCAACCAATCTGCCTATTCGATATCTTAAAGCTTGTTTCACACTTGGTGCAGCACCTTCTGCGCTCTATTCAAGCTTCGCCGGGCCAATCTCTACTGCGAATATATATCTCATTCCTGGGCTTTTCTTGGGACCTCAAACTTGACTCTTCTATCAGAGATCCATATTTCTATCTTTTTTTGCAAACCAAAAAAAAAGTGATAATTTACCCCTGAGTCTGTTTGTGGATACGTCCTATGGCGAACAGGTCTTAAACTGTTACATAGGCCTCAGCTTATCCCCTGAGTTGGTAATTCCTCATCTAACCGAGGTCTTACGCTCTGACTATAATCCGGAGAAGATCAACTTTAAAGTCGCGTTCAGATTTCAATCTTCATACTGGCAGGCTGCTTTCCGAGCCATCCCTTTCGAAGGTAAAGAGAATATAGATCCGAGAGCCAGTACAATTACTATCGTGGCACCTGATATCTTAGACAACCAAAAACCACTGCCAAACCAAGGCTCCAAGCTATTCTCATTATCTCATTATGGACACATTACTGTAAGTACAATATACTCGCTTAATGATTGTCTTGATATTTGGGCGCATCTATGATATATGTAGCGGGATCCTTGAGCTACAAATTCAGGGTAAGGGGACGGATAGTTAGTTGTTTTGCTACTTTCATAGGGATGGGCATATGCTCTGCATTTACCCTGGTCCCTTGGATATTGAGAGCATCGGTTTGGTAAAGATATCTTTGGTAGGACAGGGGCTGGTTCCTGTTAGTTTTGCAATTTACATACCCTAGCCCCCCATCATCATATTTATTCTGTTTTCTTGTCCCTTTCTAAGGAATATAAGGCGCGAGGTTCTCTATGGCACAGTTTCAATGCCAAGAACGTTCTGATGCTAACTCTAATAGTACTGCGGATATCGCCGCGAATGCCCCGAGGTACCGGCGTAAGAGCAGCACCTTTATCGACGGCATTCACGATGTCCCGGAAGATGGTGATAGGGCTCCGGCCCAGCTGTACAGTACTATGTCAGGAAGGCTTTTCCACTCTGGCCGTATCGCTATTGTCATGGTGGGACTTCCTGCTCGAGGCAAGACGTAGGTCTCAACTCTGTTCGCGTATGCTACGCGAGCGCTGACGCTTTTATAGTCATATTGCTGTCTCATTAGCACGATATCTACAATGGTATGCCAACTACCCTGATACTATGAGCTTGATCTCATATATTCTAGGTTAGGTGTTAAGACACGGATTTTTCACCTCGGCGACTATCGTCGAGCTACCGTCGGTCAAGGTGGCCATGTGCCCGAAGACTATTTCTATCCAAACGCCTCGCCAGCTTCAATCGTCTTACGCCAGAAAATTCTCAAGAAGTGTCGTGAAGATATTTACGGCTGGCTCAACCACGAAAATGGCCAAGTAGCGATATATGACGCAGTGAACCCTACTGCAAGTGGTCGTCGCTCACTAGCCAAAGAATTTGCGAAGCATGACGTTCAGGTGAGACGTTATTTGAAAGAGTATCCCTAAGTGAAGGATTAGTATTAACGATGTCGTAGACCTTGTTCTTAGAATCTTATGTTGACGATGACAACCTCCTTCGAGAGAACGCACGTAATGTCAAAATTGGATCCCCCGATGTACGACACCTAAGTGTTCCTCTTGTTTCACGCAATACTAATATCAGTAGTTTGCCAACATGGACCCTGACGAGGCTGCTAAGTTATACCTCACGCGCATGGAGACCAAGATACCGACATTCGAGACTATGGACGAAAAAGAGCTTAACTACATCAAAATGATTAATGCAGGCCAGAAATTCTTCTACAACAACGTATCCTTCAATTATCTCTCGCACCGCATTGTCTTCTACCTAACCAACACTCACATCAAGTCTCGAGCAACATTCTTCGTTCGACCTGGTACTGCCACGGAAGAGGAAAGTTATAAAGCAGATCCGCCATTATCCGGAGAGGGTGAGAAATATGCTAGAGTAATGACAGAGACGGTGATCAAGCACCGCGAACAAGAACGAGCTTCACGGATTGCAGAAGGAGGGTCTGATATGCCGTTGCGCCCGCTGGCAGTATGGTGTTCAACACGTATGCGCACAATGCAAACAGCGGATGTCTTTCAGGAGCTCGGATACAAAGTTCGCCAACGAAGTCAGATGGCCCAAATCAACCCAGGAGTCTGTGAAAGGCTAAGTGAACGCGCTATTCGCCGTCTCTACCCCGAGGAAGTAGATAAGCATGAACTCGATCCTTATCACCACCGCTATCCGCGCGCCGAGTCCTACCACGACCTCGCTGTACGACTCGAACCAATTATTCTAGAACTCGAACGTGAGCAGAACGACTTACTGATCATCGCTCATGAGAGCGTACTACGAGTCCTCTATGCATATCTTATGCATTGCAGCACTATGGACATTCCTAATCTCAAATTCCCACGGAACGAAATTATCGAGGTCATCCCAGGCGCGTACCAGAATGATGCTAAACGTATTCATATCCCAGGTCTTGACCCCAAGACTGTCCCTGGCTCTCCTGAGGATATACGGATTCCCGTGCCAGACAGTGATGTTAATACTCTAGCACCGCTTCCAGGTGGAGGCCTCTCCGCGCCTGCGGTACCGCCTAATACTATCGAAAAGCCACCCGAGAAAGTAGTCAATACGGCGGCCGAAGCGGTGATGGACAAGATCACAGATGAAGATTAAGTCGTGTTAAAATCTAGCATAGGTGCTCATAGAAATACCAAGCAGGTCATACCAATGTATCAGGCTACTTTAATCTTCAGCATAATCATAAATAGAGTTATGGTGGGATACGTATTTATGAAGAGGATAACTATACGATTCCTTGAATACGGGATGCGGCTCTAACATCGCCGTAGATAGGATAGCATGGAGGAGACATATTGGTAATCTTCAGAGGGGAAAAAAGGCCACCGGTTCGCGTCGGTATCAAAGTTTCACACAAGACTCGTCGCGAAAATTGGCCATTTAATGCTGTACTAAATGTCAATCAAGTAATCGTAGAAAACACGGTGATAATGAGAGTCTACGTGTTAGTGTGGATTCTTCAGAGCTTGTGACTATTCCAGCAATGTTAACCACATGATAATCCTGAGTCAGAGAGTAAGTAATGCTAAAACTAGTGTTTATCAAAAGGCAATCTTAACTGTATGACTTAACCTAACAGATATCTACCTAGATATTTATCCGGGTAAATTAAGCGAATATATGGGAAACATCATCTATCAGTCTTTTAGAATACCACATCTACTTTTCCTTCTAGGTTAATTAGTTAATAAGGTATTCTCAGCAACGCTCCTTTGCATGCTAAACTGTTAAATAGCTAGCTACCTAATTACCTATGAAAGGTATCAACCTAAATCCATAACTAAGCACTTCTCAAACAACCCCCAATACGATTCAACACCCAGATCTTTTAGGCACTCTATAGAAGAATATCGTGCTATTCTACGTACCTATGTTAACGCCCGCCCTTATATACGAAACCACCAGCCCCATCTAATACACAACCCATCAGAACCACTTGTCAATGCTTTAGGAGGTAGTTAGGCATATAGGTAAATAAACATGTACCCACTTACCTATACTAATCCACCGAAGCCCTCCGACGACCGGTATGTCCATCCAGCGCAGTCCGCCCCGCCCCGACAGTGGCCCCTCTACGTTTAGCGGACTGGGTCTCCTGCTATGGGGCCGCGTCCCGGGGCTCTCCGCCCGCGGCCCCGGAAAGTAGGTGCTAATAGGCTCTTCCGCAACCCTTCGGTATCCCGAAAAGTCTTCCGCTCCTAGACTCCGCGTTGTTGGTATGGGTCGACCGGACTCGTATCCTATCCTCTTCTTCTTAATTCTTTAATACTCCTATTAGCTTTCCTACCCCAGTCTCTTCATAAACTTATCAACCTAATCTATTAGCTCTGGCCACTACCCACCTATTGTGTCCCTTAAATTAAAGCGCATATTTTACGTTTCTTATATTAGCGCAGGTATGAGCTTTGGAGATTACATCAAGAGGCAGAGATGTTATAGGAGGTGTATGAAATTTGGAGGTATAATTAATTAAGATGGTCCAAAAAAAAGTACCGTGAACTTCAGACTCTATTACGAGACCACTTTGCGATCGATACGCAGTATAAGTATTTTAGTACACGCTATCTAAAAAGACGCCGCTTGAATGCTGTCCAAGTAATTACCCATTTTCCACGTCCCATATTAATGCGATATATTTTAACCGAAAGTTCGCTCGTTCCCTAAGTACGCCTACAGATCAACCTGTCTCGTTTTTCAAGTTCCTTGCGGCAAATCTCGTGTATCACCAACGCCTGCCGGGTATCTTGTATCCGAAATCAATAGCCCAACCCATCCACGTGAAGTCATAGCACTACTGGACTAGAACACCCAAAGTTAGCAGATGCACATGTAAAGAATTCTAAGAAGAAATGAGTAAAGGAGGCCAAGTAAATCGCACTTGGATCGTTAGACCACGACTCCAACTGTGGTCTTGAGTAGACCGTACCGCGTAACAAGTAAAAGAGAACAGTGTCGATATACTTACCAATGCATTCCCTATCTGGCATGTTTATTCTCTTACTATCCTTCCCCTTGCCTTTGTCATGATGTAACTTTGACTTCCCCTTTTTCGGTGTAGGAGTGTTATCTGCATCGTTCTCTTTTATACGTTCCTTTTCCATGTTTTCGACGAATTCGTAGTCATCTTCAGTTTCCATTGATGTCGAGTCCCGTAGCGGTTCCTTGCTTGATTTCATGAAGACCCCGAATCTAGTAACCGACAAGCTCTTGCGGCCTTCACCAGCTTGACTGTGGGGTCTACTTTTATTACCGCCTCTGAATCTCGCAGCGGCCCGGCTAAGTCTTTGAGCCGTAGTCTCCTCCCCAGGCGTGACAGCTGGTGATGGTCCCTCTGATACTGCCGCGGGGCTCGGGATGCCGGAATCATTGTAAATGCTGCCTCGTCGGGATACGCTAAGAAATCCATCCTCATCCGCAAAGCTGCGGCGTGGCGGCGGCTCTAAGTCCGCTGAAAAGCGTATTCCACCGTTGGTCGCCGGCTGGGGGGCTAAGTTATCAAAGTAACTGCTTGGTCGACGGGAGACCGAGAGTCTCTCCTGACTTTGTGCCGCTGAAGTTTCCGAATTAGTTAAATTGAGGGCCGCGTCATCGTATGACGGCGGCTCCATGTCTGTGCTCCCGGTTGAGCTGGCTGCCACCTCCACTATCGGGACAATCTGATAGAAGAGTAAGTAAGGCATCTCTTCCTTGAGCGATTCCTTTATGTCATCAACAAGGGTTACTCGATTTTCAATCGCAAGGTCATCAAATTTGACCCACTGTGCCTCTTCATAATCTGGAGGCGGATCACTATCATGCCTGCGGTTATCAGTGAGGAGCTTAGGGGCCACGCGGCAAAAAGAGACGTAGTGGCCGGAATGTAGCGAATCCCCCCGGTGGCAGACCACAGATTGAAGCACAAGCTTGTACTCGGCAGCAAGTCCACTTTCTTCTACATGTCTTTCGTCGACAATGAAATGTGGCAACCTCAAACTATCGGGAATGTCGATATACGTGTTCTGCCGCTTCATGTTACCGTTCGTATCCATCATATACCGTTTCAGGCAGATCCCAACAACGGGCCGTTGACTAAAATGTCGTGCAACCTCCAGGTCGCTCTCTGGTTCCTTATTCGCAGGGGAATGCCACGCTATGATCTATATTAGTCTCGTAGCCCTTATAAGAGAGTAGAAAATCGTACGTATAAGTCTGAAGAATTGCCAAGCAGGTATTGTCACGGCTCTAACAATCGATGCTGTATGCTTGGCTCTCTGGAACAAACCAGCGGTATCGGATTCAGACGGTTTGCCCTGCTCATCGACCACAACTCGTTGTATTATACTTTCAGTTCGACTTCTATGTGGCCGTAAAATTGTCTGAGGCCCTGAAGCTTCCACTTCGGAATCCGGTTGAGGGTCCGAGAAATGAGACTCTTGGGCTATTGTCCACCTTCGCTCTAAATGTGGGCCATTCTCGGATTCAGGTGCGATACCTTCTTCCTGATCTTCCTCGGTAATAACCCGAATCGTACTTTTAGGTTCATTAGAAATATCAGGGGGTTGTAAGTGTGGCATCGTTTCAAATCGTTCTGCTTTTTTCTCCTCCAGACTGTCTCTCAAGACATCGACCTGGGAGTTGAAGTATTCCTCTAAACAATCTTCTAATCTAATTCCCTTTCCATTGTTATCCGGCGGTACGGCAAGGTTCAAGAGTCTTTCATATACAACTTTGTGATCAGCGTCGTCGTTTTTTCCTTGGTGGAATAAGTCGACTTGTAAGGTAAGGAGAGGAAGTTGAAGAGTTTCCGTGATGAACGCGAAGGCTTCGGATGTATCCTGCTGTTCTAGTAATTGTGCATCTCTCCAGCCACATGCAGCTAAGGCGTCCTGAATGTGCTGGGTCTACCTAATATTAGTTCCGCTATAAATAGCCTTGCGTTCGAGGAAGAAGTGATGCTTACCATATCGGTTTCGATCAACTTCCCGCTTCTTAGCATGTTCACCCAAAGTCGAAGCAGCGCAGCTAACTTCCTCTGCGGTTCATCCATGGAGTCGCTCTTGAGCATGCACTCGAACGATTCGAGTTTAGCAAACATGGCAAAGAGTAGTGCGTCGAGATAGCAGGTCACATTCCCTCGATTTTCAGCTCCGAGCATGTGGACCGCTGGGTTGTAACTGATAATCTTGCCGGAGAGGGAGACATGCTGTAATAGCAGCAGCTCCATAGCCTTGTCGACATCGCCGGAGGAATATTTAGAATTAAGTACATAACGAATCTGATCGTCGCTTAGAATGGGAAAGTCTAGGTCAGCAACTCGCCGTCGTATGTCGTCGATCTGTTCGAATTAACGATTAGGGTTACTTGAAGCGCAGGTGAATGCCGAAGTTTGCGTTGACGCACCTTGGCTCCCTCCTTTTCTTGCTCTGTACTGGTGCCGGTAGATTGTCGAGATTCTGGTTTGAATATGGAAAAAAAGGCTTCGGCTGATAGAGGGCGGTGTTGCTGAAGAGATGTAGTTAGAACGTAAGTTACTTATTAAGATGGAGACGTGACATATTCAATGTCACCTTACCTTATGGGCCGGATCGGACGATCTATTACGACGGTGACCATTCTTCTCGCGGCGACTCAGGAATTTCCTAGGAATGCTAGTCTTCATGGTGGGGTCTCGCAACATTTGAAGATTGGCCGAGGGGGCCAGGCTCAAGGGGGATAAAAGTAGGTGTTAATGATTTATGATTTACAACAACGGCACCAGCCCTTCGCTCATATTCGTATTTGGCAATGCGCTGTGCGACGGTGACGGGCGACTCCTCTTCGGCCTTTCTCTTTTAAAATAAAATTCGACGCTTTGAACTATCGCTGCCGATAGACGGTGTGCCAAGCCTGGGTCGAGCGTCGATGCGACTGGGACTTGATGTTAAGGCTGAAGGTGATGATGGTACGACAAGGGAATTCGCATGGCTCAATATGATAGTAAAAGTCGAATTGTTTATTCAGAGGGAGAAGGAAAAGGAGAAAGGCAAGAAAGACAAGAATAATTGTTTGCGATGTAACGGAAGCTTGCAGCAGCCAAGGAAGTTCAGAGGTTGAAGAACTAAATTGTTGCAGCGGTGGCAGTTACGGGGCTCTGCGCTGCGTGTAAAGTTCCTAACGAAGACTGAGCGTTTCGCGTCGTCAAGGGTCCCCCAAAAAATAGGTAAGCTATCGTCGATCCAATATGGGGAAACCAAGGTCGCTTGTATCTTGTCTTGATAATTGATTACATTATATAATCGTATTCGCGTGATGCAAACTAGCAAGTTCAAATTTTTTCAACCACGGGTTCTAATTAATTAGTTGTCGAGAGACGTTTCTCGAATTTAGGCAAGGTGAGGCGCTAAGAGTAAAGAGACGTGGGTTGTATAATAAATCTGTTCTGTAAGTTGATGGAAGGGGATAATGAAACGAACGAGACCAGACCTGAGGCAAGTTTCTTTCAAGGTAAAAAGGGCACGAGGTAGACAAAACTAAATTTATTTCATTCCATCTACGCTGGTATAGGATATTTAAAATTCATTGAAATGTATAAAGATGTAGCAGGCGCAACTTTAATCAAGTACACTAGGCCTCATCTAACTCAAAAATACGCCAAAGTGCACCTTTG